TAGATTATTGATGGTTCTGCCTAGTGTTTTTTTATTTTCAACACCTTTACTAAGGAAGGCAGACAATTGAGTTTTTGTATGGTTTTGAGTCAGGTTGCCACCCCTATGAGATTCCTCTTTTGAAACAAGAGAGAAAGCGGTTTTGACAGAGGGAAGAGGGTCCCTAGTTAAGATATTGCTTCTAATTGGTTGGTAAACATCATCCAATCTCATAAGGAATTGCATGAGCTTAATCAATTGACTGTGTTACAAAAATTCGTGAGAGGCCTTACAAGTGCAGGATGAAAGTTTAACAAGGGCATCAAATTGTTTCCAAAAAGAATTTAGCTTATGGTAATATTCAGAAACAAAAGTGTCATTTTGGGTTAAAGAATTGATTTTCTGGTGTAGATTGAAAGTGACAGATCCCTCAACCTTGTCATAAGTCTCTTTTAATTCTTCTCAAATTTGGGAGGACTTTTGTGAAAAAACTTGTTCTAAGAAAAGATCTTATGTTAAAGTGCTAAGAATCCACAAAAGGACAACCGAATTGCATCGATCCCATTGTTTTTCTAAGATAGGATCATTAACAGGACGAGGATAGAACCCATCAATAAATCCAGTTTTTTTTTTTTGTTTCCAAAGCTAATATCATAGCACATGACCAGACCTTATAGTTGTTAGCACCACTTAACTTGAAAGATAACAATGAAGCTCCATTAGTGTCACTGGGGTGTAAGTACAGTGGATCTCCAAAGTCTAACTTAGTGACTTTGGATTTCATTAGACTTCCCAGTTCAACTGGTGAAGAAGACATGAGCACAACAAATAAAAAACCATAGAAAAAAGAGGGAACCGAATAGATATAAGTAGGATTCCTAAAACAGTGAAACCGTGCTAGGTCAAGCTAACTATTCAGTTACCAGGCAAGCAAAGCAGAGAGAAGAAGAGAAAGAAAAAAAGAAGGAAATGTATATACCAAACCACAGATAACGAAAAGAGAGATACACAAACCTTTTTAACTTCTGTTAAAAAGAAACATAAGTCACCTGCAGGGAGTGATCAAAGAATTTACAACCTCGGCTTTTAACTTTTGTTAAAAGAAACCAAGAGAAGAACAGACAAGACAGATCCCGGAAGCACATGAACAAACTAAAAAAATAGATCTAGAAACACATATAATGCAAGACAACAAGAGAGTAATCCAGAACCAAAGAACAAAAGAAACAAATGGACCAGATCTGCGATAAGCAAAAATACCACAACAAAAGAAAAGAGGATCTGGATTGGGATCAGATCTAAGATGGCCAACAACAAGGAAAAAACATATTAGCATACAAGATAGATCTGAATTGGGACCATATATGATATAACCAACAAAGATACAATAGATTAGCATACAAGATAGATCTGGATTGGGACTAGATCTGGTATAACCAACATATAGCACATAAAACTAATACACGAATCACGTAGTGGGGACCAACATAAGATCATAACGATCTTAGCAAGGCACACACCCAAAATGATCATTTATTTTTAATTGCCAAATAGATTAACAAACAGATAAACCAACAATTTGGAAGAATCATACATCTGCATATTGGACCATAGAGGAAGAATACTAAAGGACACAACTGATAAAAAAAAGAACAAAACAACAAACAAAGGTTATGGGGGCCAGGTGGAGATCTTGAAGATCTTGTGAAGGCACACAACCCAACCTATGAAGAAACCCTCAAAGAAACTAGATAACAAGAACAACGAACATATCAAATATCACTTAAGGGATCGACAAGGGAGATTTTAAATCTCGTAACCATGAAACCCTAAAAGATCTATATCCGATTACTTACAAGAATCACAAAAAGAAGGATTTTTTCAAAAAAACACAATCAGTCGAACCATATAGCTCTGATACTAAGTTAAAATTGTTTGAAACTTGAAGAAACAATTTTATTTCATATACAAACAAAGAACAACATATAAATCTGTACAACCTATTCATAAATCTGTAAACTAAAACTAAATATAAGATCTATAACAAAATGTATCTTAAATCTAGCTTAGAACAAAAAAGAAAAGAATATGAAGATTTAAAACAGATTAAGTGAGAGAGAAAGAGAGAGAGAGAGAGAGAGAGAGAGAGAGAGAGAGAGAGAGAAATTGAGAGCTATTAAGAGCTAAAACAAAATTTGTAAAAATGAAATCTGATGCCAAATCTAAATGAAAACAACTTTATATATCTTCAAGATTATGTCAAGAATGGTCCTTGGACTTTTGTAATAATTGCTCCACTAATCGTTGAGAAGTCCCGAATATGAGGCGTAGTCCTCCAAGAATAATAAACAATCCAACTTTCTAACTTGAACACTTTTCACCCTTATTTGTTAATATCCTGACAAACAAGTACAACAAAGAGTAAGTCAAGATTGCTAATATCACACATACGTTTAACAGATAATTCTTACCTACGAGGTTGTACGACAACAACAAAGCATATCTAGATAAAGCTCTTTTAACCTGGTCCATCATGAACGAACCAAACATGCGGAGATTGAAACATAGTTGTTAAAAGCGCACTTGAGGTGCACAAGGCGCAAGAGTTTAGGTTTTTCTATGGTCGAGGCAAGCTAGGTGCGGCCTCATAAGTTAGATTGAAATTCTGTGTCTTTTAGATCAAGTCTTCTCGTATTCTCATCTCCTAGACTTATCATTTCCCGCGATGAATGCACCAAACCCCTTAAAAATACAATCAAAACCCATCTCACCTTTCACCTCTCACCTCCTCAAATTCGTTCATCCTTTCTTTTGATTGTACCACTTGGCTGTTGAACTTTTTTGTTATTTGAGTCTTATATAATGCTATTTGAGTTTATGTAATTGTGGGTGTATAGGGGTGTGTGTGTGTATATATATATATATATATATATATATATATATATATATGAGACATGGCTTGCATTCCTAAGGCCTGCTCCTGCTCCTGCTCCTGCTCCTGCTCCTGCTCCTGCTCCTGCTCCTGCTCCTTCGCAGCCAGGTCCTGAGTCCCATTTACGCACATGTACATTCCCTTTTTATTTGTAAGTTATAGGTTTTACAAGAAAGTGGAAGTTCCCTATCAAGTGTTTGAGGAGTTAAGAAGTAATACGTTAGGGAATCTTGACCTTTTTAGGAAATCTCTCCTCCTAAAAGTTGATGTTCATGTAGAAATAGCTATTGTTCTTTAGTTACTATATTAACTTTTCTTTATTACTTGTCAAAATGGTACTATTGCAAAATGTAAGTTTCACCCTCAGACCTTCTGGAATCTTAGATGGAAACTGCAAATGAGAAGATTCCCAAAGTTATCTTCAATGTTTGAATATTTTTTATGTGAATTCTTCTTGAGAATGAGTGGAATTTTGACAAAAGTGCAAACGGTAGCAATCTTTTTATCCATTTACATTCCTTAAATTTGTTTGAAAACGAAGCGTTGTTGCAAACTATATTGGTTGGTAGCACTTCAACAAGGACAATGGTTAGTTTGAAGCAACAAGTCAAGTACAATACTCTACTGGCGAGCATTGAGTTGGGTCGGATGGCGATTGGTTTTGGGATGTTTCTGATGTTGGGTAACTTTGGTGGGCCTAGTGGCATGTCCACAAAGTTAAAGCGATAGTGGATCAGTTATAGGCATCCTCTCCCCATGGTTTTTCCCCTTCCGAGTTTCCACATTAAAATTTTAGTCTCTCTCTTATGCTTTATTTCGCATATTATTGGGTTGATTATTGTTAACATTACTTGCTGATTGATTATCTTATTTTGTCAATCGTTATTCTGCCTAAAATCTCGATATAGAACTTTAGTTCATTTGTTCTTGGGTTATTTATGTTTTAATCAGGAACCAACTATCGAGCTTATGTTATTTGGGTCTTGGTATTTTCACAATAACTAGTATCCGAGCTCAAGGATTAATATTGAGATTTTTTCATCGATTGAAGATTATAAGATTATTGATTTGCTAGGGTTTCGTTTATGTTGACAATGAAATTCGATTTGCCTTTGATGGAACGAGATGCCCGATCCATTATTGAAGATAAAGATGAGAGATGTTCTTGTCCAACAAAATTTACATAAATGCATTTTGGGACGGGCGTTTATGCCTAGTGCTTGGACACACTTTGTATGAGTTTTTATTTTTAACTTTTTTGATAATACTTAAAAATCGGTTATTATTCTTCTGTCCATTATGTCATCAAACATATTTAGGTAATAAATTCATAAAATTATATTTTGTTGCATTTGTTGACCGTTAGGCAATCAACAAAAAAAAAAATCCCCCGTAAAGGTGGACTTTGGCCGAGAACACACCGAGTGTAAGACGTAGTGTTGCGTCTTACTCAAAAAGTTAAGGTTGGTTTCATTTGTAAAAATGTATTGTATCATATTAACACGATTGAATTTTCCTCGGATCAAACCGTGTTTGACTTTTCCCTGATTAAACTACGACCTTGTTGGCCTTTGGTTGACCTTAAAGGTGCACTCGCTTAGAAATTCGCGGGTTCGCCATCGGTGAAATCATACGGGTTCATATGTGAATTATACGTGTTCATATATGAACATATAGTTCATATGTTAATCACACAGGTTCACATATGAACCCATTTGTCACTTATTTGTAAAATTTATAGAACTACCTCCTCTATTTTTCGAGTTTTTTTTTTATAAGTTTAATTAAGGGCTACTTGATAGTTGTTGAATGATTTGATGCAAAATGATTAAGTGGTCAAAATGATTAAGTGGTCAAAATGATTAAAAGACTTTTATGATATAATACAAAATGAAATATGGATGTTTGATAATTGTTCAGAATAAAATTAGGATTCTGAATGGTTTAGGAAGACCCAAGGCGCAAAATCATTCAGATGGTTTTAAAACCATTAAGAGATATTTTTTTGCCAAAGAAGATTCATTTTTTAGCGATTCAGAAACTGACTATCAATTGAACTATTAAGAGGTAAACAAACACACCAAAATTAAACAAACACATTGAAAAATGTGGTTATTTTCGGTTATGCAGATACAGATCTGTTAGGTGTAAAATGAGAACTAAAATTAAAACATTTTGCTTGTATTCATTAATGAATAACCAAAGATAACAAGAATATAATACATGTGCCATGGCCAGAAAAATGGAAGAATAAGCAAAATCAAGAAGAAAGAAACACAAGGTTGACGAGTCTTGCATAAGATTCGACCGGTCAAGTAACTCATCTTGCAACAACGTCATGAGTCGAGCCATGGTTAGAGTCATGATTCGAGCCGAGTCGAAGACCTTTTAGTGCAGAAGATTGCCCTGTACAAGGAGAGACATTTGCATATATTCTATCTTTCATACCATGTGGTTTATTCAGGCAAGTATTGCCGCAGAGCCTCGGTTCTCTTTGTGTTTCGTAGCTTGCGAAAACCGCAAAGTTCGATCTGTCGGACCCTCTCACGACTCACACCCATTACGTCTCCAATCTCTTGCAATGTTCTTGTTTTACCATCTTCAAGCCCGAACCGCCATCTAATGACTAACTGCTCTTTCTCGCTTAACGTGTTCAACACCTTCTGTAAGTCGTCGGACATGTGTTGCTTGAATAATATCTCCTCAGGAGTCTCTTGGTCGGGATCATGAATAAGGTCCTAAAATCAAACATTTGATGATGAATATATAAGCAACAAAAAGTTTTGGTTCAACGCCATCATTTGCCCACAACTTTTAACCTATGTTTGGAAACCAACGATAAACTAGTTATGTTTGGTAAATAACAGTTGAAAAGCTAGATGACAATGTAAAATGACTTAAAAAGACGTGCGGAAAATTTCTCAATTTGGTATGAAGGGCATAATTGGAAAAAAAAGACGTGAAAGAAATGCCCCCGAAGCTTATTGAAAAGCTATATGAAGTAGTTCTTCAAAAAGATGGTTTGTGGCTTACCAAACCGAGACTTTACCAAATGAGCTAAGCTTATGTAGATGACAAAGTAAAATGACCTAAAAAGACAACTCGAAAAATTTCTCAATCCGCAAGGAGCATAATTGGAAAAAGTAAAAAAAGCCTCTGGAGCATATATTGGAATACTATTCAAAGAATTATTTTAAAAGCTGGCTTGTGGCTTACCAAACGATTTTTTTTCAATAAGCTCAAAAAATAAGCTAGCAAACATGTCATACTTGGTTAACAGTGAAAATTACACGAGAAGTTGATTGTTGCACTCTATTATTCTCACGGATGGGGACCATAACGCAATGGATTGCAAGTATCACTTTTCAGAATGCTAATAACATTTCTCAAACGGAATGATAAAAGAAAAGAAGGAAAACAAACCGTAAGTTTGAGACTCCCATCGAGCCCAACATTAATATCAAGAGATTGAGCTGGCTTAGGGGCAAGTTCTGCAGCTTGAATCCTCTTAATGGAGATGCCTGTTTCTATTGCAATTTCTTCGCGAGTAGGTTTCCTTCCAAGTTCCCTATCCAATCGATGCTTGGCCTCATTCACCTTAGATTGCACTTCCACCATATAATACTGCATCATCAACAAAAAGAGATAAAACTGCGCATCAGCTCAAGCTAAGAGGGCGAAATCCATACATGTGAGAACATATGGAACCCCATTAGATTTCTCTCCAACAGAATCCTCGAGGAGAGAGGAGTGGTTCCAACATATATAGGGAAGAAATGGTCCAAGTCTAACCAATGTGGGGCTCCAACAAAGGCTACACGGACAATTGTCCCAGGGTTTTGAGAGGGGGGCTAGACAAGTATAGATTGCCCCAGAGGCTCTGATACCATGTGGAACCCCGTCAGATTACTCTCCCCAAAAGCCTTGGAGGAAAGAAGGGAGGTTCTAACATATATGGAGGAGAAAATGTCCAAGTCTAGTCGATGCAGGACTCTAACAATACAGACAGTTTACAACCATAATTAGCTTTTACCGGAACATGAATTATCCTGCATTGTTCAGCACGAGACCTTTGGACAGCTTGCCTTATCCACCAGTGAGCATATGTTGAAAACTTGAATCCCTTTGAAGCGTCAAATTTCTCTGCGCTTTTCACAAGGCCTTGAATTCCTTCCTGAAGGATATAAAGTTATCAACAAAAGAAAAAAGATCGATAACTTGAATTACTGAAGGTTATTTGATTATATAAAACTGAAAAAGGTTCATACATACTTGAATAATATCTTGAAGATGCACTTTTGTTCCATAAAAACTTCTTGCAACCGAAATAACAAGCCGTATATTGCTCCTAATCATTTTGTCCCTGCATTCTTCACCATGGTGCACACGTCTCCCTAATGATATCTGATCAGTGCCCGCTGCAGCAGCCCATTCAGCAAAAGTGGGTGGCACTCCAAAGCGTTTTTCAAGATCTTTATGGATTTCTTGCAATTTCATTAGGTCCTGCATGTTAACAACAACGAATTTACACATATACAGATTTGGGACGGTATAGTGCTTCAAAAATACAGCAAGACAACTCGTAAAATATATTACACAAAAACGATTGCTGTTCCAATAAAGACATGCAAAACTTAAGGTATTATGATTCGAAGGCAAAGAACGATCAGAATTCTTTGCAAAAGTAGTCAGGCAACCTAAGATGCCAAAATGAAATCACCAGGAGTACCAAGTGTAACCTAAGGGGTTGTTTATTTCTTTTCCGGTTAAGCCTTGTATCTATTAAGCTTTCAGTAAGCATTAATCTCTCTGGATGAATTGTTTGATTTTTGTCCTGAATAACAAAAATTACAATTTTATCCTTCTGTTTACGTGAGTGTTAGAATGAAAATTAATTGTTTGACAAATCTTCTAATATGACAAAAAAATAATTGTATGAATTACATAAAATAACATAAAAAATAAAAACTCAACAAGTTCATTGCACAATGCTTGTTTGATTACAATTTTTAAGTTATGCATTTGCCGGTAACTATTTAGTTTTTAACGAGACATGGATTAAAAATTGTAGGGCAAGGGTAATTTTGAAAAAAAACCTACCTTAATGCATCACGATAGGGTGGACAAGCTTATCATGTTAAGTCCATCTCTTAGTATTAAGTTAAAATCAAACACCTTACTATAGCTTAATTAATTAAGCTAACCACCCATTAAATTTATTAAGTTGACACCAAACACACCCTACGTAGACATCTAAGATAAGAAACTTCAGGGGTCTATCAGACTCTTTTGACTAAAAACATCACTCTAGAGCTAGAAACTCGGAGCTTCAGGATGGTTTCCACATGCTTTAAGAGAAATAGAAGTTCATACCTGTATCCCTTTGGACAGTTCTACTTCCTCTGCAGCAGTGAGAAGCTTGGCGCTAGTCATTCCTCCCAAAAAAGCCAAAACGTCTTTTCCACTACGCCTTCTGCCCGCACTAGGTCTTGCTGATGCAGCACTGGCTCCAGCCCGCACTCTGCTCATAGCAGCAGAGTTCACTGACACAATACCGGCTTCAGCCTTTTCTGCTGCTCTCATTCTCCTTGCTTTCCGTTCCACTTGACGCTTTGATCTCACAGTTATAATAGATGAGAGCTGGGCTTCAAGAATTTCAAGTTCTTCACTTGTGGGTTCAGTTTCTTCTGAGGTTTGTGATCCAGTCACATTTACGGAATTATCAGACTCAGAAATGTTAGGTGTAGATTTGATATCTAACGCTTTGGTGTTGTGATGGTTCAACATCATGGCTGCTGCACTCTTAGCAACCTTTACTGCAGCCTTTGCTAAAGCAATTGCTTCAGCAGCTGCAGCAGCGTATTCACTTGTAGCAAACTCGGAAGGCGAAGTTGCTCCAATATCTCCCTAAACAAAAGGTTCCAATGCCAAAATACTAATGTAAGATTTTACATTTTTCATCAGAAAAACAATCTAAAATACATAGTAAAAGTGACTTAACATAATGTAGAGTAGGATTAGTTATGTACATAAACAGACGTTATAATCTAACAAAGTTTGTGAAGCAACCAGGATATAGTTATGAATGATACATTTGAATCCAGCAACATTTTTATGCGGTGGAGTTTTAATTAGACAACTTATATTATATAAGAAAGTGTATATGTTTGACCCATGTACTATCAAATAATATAAGTTTTGCGACCATACCAACAAAGTAATTTATTTTGCCATTGTACCTCATGAAACTTCTATTTTTGGCCCACCGTCCCATTTTTCAGCTTAAAAATGACTTAACCAGTTTGCTAGAATGCTATTATGTCAGTGTCCATTAAGCGCATATATGTCCATAGAGGCATAGATATCAGTTTTTGGACAGAAAGAAGACTAGAGAATAAGTGGTGATCAGTATATGAAGTGCCATTAGTAGAGGACGAAACAGTATCGTACTCGGTAGCATATGGCCAGCAAAAACATTCTTGCAATACATATAGTAACATGAACAACCCATTAAAATTATTGGATAGGATATGCTTCCAGAAGGCAAAAAGTGCAAAAGAAGCCAAAAGTTGGTCTGTCTAACCATTGGCGGATTCTGACCTCTATAGATCGACCTACTGAACCAGGATAGACCCATGGTCTACTCCCAACAACAGAGCTTGTATGAGATTCTATAGATGGTAGCTGGAAATTTTCAATATCAAGCACTCCAGCTGTTGTTGATGATGCTGAGGAAGACCATTGTCTTTCAGCACCTCCTGAATTTGAATGAACCTCTAAAGATGATAACTGTAGTTTTTCTAAGTTAAGCACTGTAGAGTCTGTTGATGGCGGTGGCGCTGTGGTTGATAAAATACAGCGAGTCGGGAAAAAAGTAGGCTCTCTACATTTTGCTGCATTTAAACCGAGTAATAACATTAATAGCAAAACCGATGGTGAGTACAAATAATGTAGCAATTTTAAGCTAGGAGGTATCGCATTTTTTTATTTTATCCACTTATACCAATTTCCTCTGTTGTTCGTTTTCTTTGGCCCATGTTATCACTTCTCATATCAAGTATATAAGACCCACAGTAACATCTTACTTTATTCTCATACTCATCAATGGGACCCACAAAATGAAAAAACAGAAATGACCAAAATAAACAGGACACAAAGTATCCAACACAATAATAGGGATTTGGGCTTTCATCATGTTTATTTTTAACTTTTTCAGCCAAGTTAAATGCTGTAGCATGGATGACTTGTTATAAATGGGCTGTTACAACATACAAGTTCAATAAACAAAAAAGAAAGCCCAGATCAAACTAATAGCCGTACAGGGTTGGTTCCGGTGAGAATGGAAGTCATGTTCAGAAGGGCAAGAAGGGATCTCCACCCTTGGATCAATCCTAAATGAAGATCAACAGTAATAAGATGCACCAAGATGCACCAGATCAATTCCCGTGTCAACCGCAGTTCATTGGGTGGGGGCGAGATTAAAAGTGATCAAGGGTCCAGTTCTTACGCTTCTCACTCAACTCTCATTCTCACACAATCCTTTGTCTAGCCATACATCCATCAAGGAATAAACCAAACATGAAACTCTCTTCATAGATAAGGAACAAGTGAATGTGGCCCAGGTTTCCAAAATTCTTTAAATTAATTGGTTCTCTTATACATATTTGAGTGAGAAATGAAAGTGTACTCTCAAGAAAAATATTATTTCAGAACCAAATGTTATTGAGCCGATTGAACCTATTCCTAGGCAATATCCATTTAATGTTCATTTAACTCCAAATCAAGGCTCAAATAGCTGAAGAAGCCCTAGAGCATTAGGCAAAAATAATCCTGACAACGACTTGTTAGTTGATCCCAAGAAACTCAATGAATATAACAGGAGTAATGAACTCGTCTCATATTTTCCTTTTGGCTTGAGAACCAACACATGGAGTCAGTACAGAATGCAGTACCAACACATGGAAATGACAAGTCGATCTGTTTTAAACATTCTTTTCCTAAAATAGATGAGCCAAATGCCTTTTCATCTTTCGAGGTTGGAGCAAATGCACAGCTGCTCACACAATTGTGTGTAAGCAGTAGATGAAACGACATCACTTTGACAAGCTCTCAAAAGGTGTAGATCTAGAGTATCTGACCATAAGTTATGTATTGACCGTAATGCTATGTCCCAAGCATCGTGACATTAGGCTAATTCTAGTTAGCGACAAAATTTGTGATAATTGGGGGATGAAATTGGTAACAAAAATGATAATAAAAATTAGTTATGAAATTGGTGATAGAAAATGCTACAAATTGATGAAAAAACTCAAATTGGCCGATGATATTTATGATAGATTGGTGATAAATGATGATAAAATTGGCGACGAAGAACTAAGTCGTAAAAATAACCCTAAAGCATAAGCACTATAAAGCCTCCATCATTACTCCTTTTCTAAAACTGCCAAAAGGTTACGCCTGTATAGTAATAGAACCATAACTTTACAGCTTTAATGGCAATATGTCGAAAGAACATTGTTGTGTACTGCATGCTGCATGAGATATGTTACAACTATTTTGTCTTCTTTTCTTAAAGTAGCATATACTTCACATTTATGTGGATTATCATTTCTAATAAGCTCATGAGAAACTCACTTTCATTCATCATTGCATATTTCTAATAGTCGCAATTTTCAATTCTGAAGTTACTTTTATCATGTTTCACGATATACAATGCAAGTTTCCATGATTTTTATTTAAACGCTATTTAAGGTGTTTCATGATGGAAAATGTGAACCGAAGCTCCTTGGTTTTGCATGGGTTGACGAGGAAAGTCACTACATAAGTCTTTTTGTTCCAGCTTTTACAAAGAGACAGTTTTTCCGGGGTTCCACTCCCTTTTACCCAAAACTGATGATCATCCCGCCACAAAAAGACATTCTTACTAGTTGCTCGAAGAAAACAATTAAAAGTTTGCCAAATTTTTACACTTAGTACAAGAAGCTCCTGTAAACTTGAAACTAATGACATTAACCTATAAATCTTGAGCCTAATAAGCATGATTTTGATGGGTGATTCGAAATTGATATAACAAAATCTGTAAACCTATAAAAATTCAGTGCACTACTCATAAAACCGTGATAGCAACAAACTTTACAATCTCGGTCATGTAAAGACGCTACTAGTTCTATAAGCCTAAAAAGCCTCCAAGACCATCACCAACTTCAAAACAACCAAATATTTTTGTCACATATGCATTAAATATTTTTCAATTTTATACAGGAGGTACCCAACTTACCCAAGAAAGCAAGAGCAGCTCATTAAGTAAGCAATAAGACAATATCCAAGTGTTTGCTTTAGTTTTGGCACCTAAGAACTCCCTCGGTATGACCCAATACACATTTAGTCCTTTGACCAATCATATCTGAAACTAGTTAAAAGACTTAAACTCCAGTTTCTCTAGCAATCCGACCACTTTTTCCTGCCAATTTCAGCTTCTTTTTGGTTGAAAAGATGTGTTCTAAAAAGCATTAAGCAACACTAGGCGATCAAGTAAACTTCTGGCCATGTTTAATTGGATGCATAAGCAGTTCCTTTAAATAAATAAAATACAATAATTATTATTACATTATATATAAGCATGAGATTAAGAATTCGGTACCGCATTGTTTTAGTACAATAACTTTTCTAAAAGATTTAGTTTCATTGTTCCAATGATATAATTACTCAAGAAAGAATTAGAAAGTTTATCTCCTAGTAGAGAAAAGTCAATTCATAAACCCATGTTGAAAATTGTCAATTGATGAACCCAAGTTGAGAAAAATTGAATTAATCCATGTGTTAGGCTTAATCCAACAATTAGTTGCTACTCAACGAGTAACAATTGGTTAAGCCTCGGCAGCCGACAATGGCCTTACGGCCTTAACTAATAGACGGTGTGCTTAGTATGTGCGTATATATGTACGTATGTATATGTGTGTATATATGAATACAGGTCACACATGTATATGCAAATTGTTTTGAAATTAAACTATGACAATTATTTCGGTAATAGAACATTTTCGAGTACAAAAGCTAAAAATGTTCCATCACTTTTTGAAATTTGACAAAAAAAGAGTTTGAAATTCCATAACTGGAAATGGATAGATGATAACCGACCCAATCCAATTCATAAACAGAACACTAAAAACTAGAAGTAGATATATCACTAATCAGAAAATAACATTAACATTAACATTAACTTGAAACTTGCTATCTAACAAACAAAAACACGAAGTTACTACAATGTTGAATCAATCAAAATATTTAAAAATCCAAAATTCAGACAGAAAACCAGTAATCAAATAAAACAAAATCCCAAATTCTAGATGTAGATTACGAACACATTCAATGACATAAAAAAAAGAGAGATGTAATCTTACGTAGCTGCGGAGAATGATGATTGAGGGTTTTGAATTGGATGGAGAAGGAATCCGGCAAGCACTTGAATTGGGGCAGCAAACAGGACATATTTTCTGCTATAGATGCATACATGTAATGATCCTCATATACATGAAATTTGAATTCAAACAAACATCTGACAATGAGAACGAAAATGGGTTTTAGCGTTAAGATTGAAATAGAAGGTGAGAAAAGAGAGAATGAAGAAGAAAGTGAAGGATGAGATTGTGTTGAATGAGGATAAGGAGGGCTTGAGTGAGTGAGGACCAGAGATAGACAAGCAGCAGCCTTTTGAAGGAAATTGGATTTAAAACCTTCGTCATTTGGGCTTTGGACCCAACAATTTCAAAATCCAAAATAAAAACAATCATTTAATTATTATTTTATTTTATCTTAAAAATTAGCTCTTTTATCTAACAACCGGGGCCGTTTATCACACGTTTATTCGGATAAATGTTTATCAATTCACATTGTCTTATTGGATGAATACGGTAACAACTAAAAATCTTATTCGGTAAGTACATAACAAGAACAAAGAGTCTTGCCTATGGACGATCCTTGTCATTTAATTATTATTTTATATTTTACCTTTTATTTTATTTTATCAAGTCATATCATTGTTGGAAGAATATGACAAAAATTAAGAATCTTACCTGATAAGAATGAAGTCACAAACCAAGAGTCTTGTTCGTTAAGTGATAGCCGTAACCCTTATATGCTTACCGAATAAATTATTAGAATGTAAAATCAATCAAGTATATCCTTTAAATAATTTTAATTTTTCCCATTTCACTCACCTTTCCTTTTCTTTTCTATTTCCATTTTCTCCTCTCAAATTCAAGAACACAGCGGAAAATACCCTTGCAACACTGTGCGCTGTGACTCCCTGCACTCGTTCTTTCTGCCCTTCGTAATGGCTCAAGCGATACTCAGTATTCCAGTTCTCTCAGCAGTCATCACGACAACTACCGTTAAATTGTCAAAATCATTGCTCAATTCTTCATTGCTTCATGGTTATGGTCGCGGTATCTGTTGTTGTTCGTCAGCCGTAACTGTTTCACAACAGCAACAACGACAACCGCAAGTCCGGAGCCCTCAATTGGTCGCATTGGAGTATGCTGATCTCAGTATTCCACATATTGTATCGGAGGTATTAAAAATTCGAATATAAATTGTGTTTTGTGTAATCTTATTGCTGACTGAGTCATTACTCCCGGCGTTATCTTACAAGACTTTGCATGCTCACATTTACTTTTGAACTTCAAAATTGGCTTGTTTTTGAAATTTGAGTAGAAATTACCGAGTTGGGTATACTCTGTTACAAACAAGATTTGATGGAAATTGACAAAGCAAGAAAGTAATGGGTTTGGGTAAAACCTGCTGTATATTTTATTTAACCAGAAGCCAGCCTTTTATATGCTTTACATAAAACAGAAAAAGGCTAAAAAGTAGGAAACTACCTAAGAAAAAATAAAAAGGAACCAGCAGCTAACGTTCTAAAGATTTCCCTTTATTCTAGCACTCAACTTTGAATTAGAGACTTAGTCTTCAATACTCCCCTTGATTCAAAGTTAGTGATGAGTAGCTGATCTCGAAATTCTTCAAACTTGGCTCTTGGAAGAGACTTTGTGAATAAGTCTGCTAATTGTTGCTCTGACTTGCAAGATATCAGCTGCACTTTTCCTACAGTAACTAACTCTCGTATAAAGTGATGTTTAATCTCTATGTGTTTAGTCCTACCATGTAATACCGGGTTCTTTGTTATCGCTATTGCTGACCTGTTGTCACAGAATATGGTAGTGGCCTTTTGTTGTGTCTGATTCAAGTCACTTAGCACCCTTCTCAGCCATACAGCTTGACAGGCTGCTGCTGTCGCGGCAACGTACTCGGCTTCTGTTGACGACAAAGCCACTGTAGCTTGCTTCTTTGATGCCCAAGTGACTACTCCTGATCCAAGAGTGAAACAATTTCCACTTGTACTCTTCATATCTCCTTTTCTGCCTGCCCAATCATTATCAGTGTAGCCTGTCAAGTCAAACGTTTCTTGCTTTGAATACCAAATTCCATATGTTGTTGTAGCAGCAATATATCGAAGGATCCGCTTTGCTGCTTCAAAATGCTGCTTACTTGGGCAGTGCATAAACCGTGACACAAGACTAACTGCATATGCCAAGTCGGGTCTTGTATGAGTGAGATATATCAAACGTCCCACAAGGCTTCTAAACTTTYTTGCATCTGTCAACCCTGTACCATCGTCAATAACCAATTTCTCACTCACATTCATTGGTGTTCCTACTGTTTTACAGCCTTCCATACCGAATTGCTTTAAAAGCTCTATGGCATACTTTTGTTGAGATAGAAATATAYCATTTCTTCTTTGCTGTACTTCAAGGCCAAGAAAGAAGCTCAATTTGYCCAAGTCAGTCATTTCAAACTTGTTCATCATAGCATTCTTAAAATCAAAAATAAGTTTTATAGATGAACCTGTGTAGATCATGTCATCTACATACAAACTTACCAACATAATATCTTTAGCTCCTTGTCTCTTTACGTATAATGTTGGCTCATTGGGGCTTCTTTCAAAACCATTTTGACRGAAAAATTCATCTATTTTGCTGTACCAAGCTCTAGGGGCTTGCTTTAAACCGTATAGTGCCTTTTTTAGTCTATACACTTTGTGCTCTTCTCCGAGGACTTCAAAGAATTCTGGTTGTTGAACATAAACCTCCTCTTTTAA